GAAAGAGTCTTGTCTCTCCCTTTTGCTCTTGTTGCTTTTGCTGTCTTCTGCCACCATGAACTGTTGCCCTCTCCCATGCCGCCCTGCCTTGGAGCCAGAGGATTATGAACTGAACCCTCTACAAACTGTGAGCCAAATAAAGCTTTTCCCCTTTAAGTTTAGGTGTCATGTGTTTTTCCTCAGCAACAAGAAAATTAACTAAGACACTATTCTTTCAAAAATCAATCCAACTTATCAATGCAATTTTAAGTTTTGCAACTTGTGTAGAGGAAAGAGCCATCCTTAGGGGAAAAAGAAACACAACTAGAGCATTTCTTATACCAGTAGCCTGGGATATGGCCGCTCCATTCTTGCCAGTCACAAGAAAAGCTCGTATAAGTGTACCAACCTTATCAGACTTCTCTAGCATCTTGAAGGTCTTGAGATATTGTGTATGTGTCCTACTCCTTCTCTGGGGCCGCCACTCCTGAGAAGTAGGTGAAGACAGTTAAGAAGCAATGTGGCTCTCTCTATGGAGTCTGTGAAACTGCATCCAGTCAGAATAAGTAATCAAGGTCTTCTAAACAGCTTGGGTCTGCGCAGAAGAAATAATACCTCTAGGCAAGTTTCTGCAAAGAACATCCCACTGTAAGGGTCAGACTCTTCCTCAAAAATGCCAGTCTCAGAGCCTAGGAGGATTTCTTCTTGCCTACTATAGCCCTGAGAGGCACAATAAAGTAACTCTGAGTCTCTTCATTGTGTTTGTTTCAGAGGCAAGCTCTCAGTGTGTTGCTCAATGTGTCCTTGGATTCATAGGTTTAAGCAATCCTCCTGAATAGCTGGGACTACAGGTACATGTCACCATGCCCAATTTTCTTCTCTCGTTGGGAAAAAGAGGTTGGCAAATTCCTCTGTGCTCCCTCTGCCCATTCAACTGGAATTTTTGAAAATTCATGTGCTGAATACTGAGGCACTCACCTAATAAAGCAACACCTGTCTGAAGGGATCTTACATTCTGATAAAGGAGAGTCAATGATCAGGATAAATAAATAAAATATCACAGTAGGTAATGATAATAGGTAAGGAGAAAACAAACAAGGTAAGCTTTTTTGAAATGTGAGGTTGCACTGTGTGTGTGTGTGTGTGTGTGTGTGTGTGTGTGTGTGTGTGTGTGTAGACCAATGGGAAGAGAGAAGCTGCCAAAGGGTTATCTGGATGAAAATGTATGATATATGAAGAGACCAAAGAACAACAAGGAAACTAGTGGGTTTGGAGCTGACAGAGTGTGGGGCAGGATGAAGGGAGATGAGGACAAAGGGGTCACAGGAAGCAGCTCTGAGAGCTGTAAACTCTGGAAGATGCTGAGCACAAGAGTGGTCTCACGCTACTGAGTGTAGGGGTGCACACCTATAATCCCAGCTACTCTAGAAGCCAAGACAGGAGAATCACAAATTTGAGCTAGCAAAACTGTTTCAAAATAAAAGAAAAGAGTAGGGATGTAGCCTAGAACTCCTTGGGTTCAAACTCCAGTGTAGGAAGAAAATACATGATCTGGCCTAGAGTTATTTCCTTGAAAAAATGTTTTTATTTAGAGAGAGAGGCCTGCTTTCAAACAGCACCGGGGCACTGGCTTGTAATTATGTTCATTTCAAAATTAGAATTGCTGAGCACTGCGGTTCAGTGGACTTATCCACTGGTGGTCTCTTAAATAATGACATGAATTTCCACCACTTTCCAGGCTGGAGCACGACCCTTGGAGAGCTGTCTTCTCCACATATTCCATGCCGTGCTTCTCTTTGGTCTTTTTAGTTTTCCCAAGCCCTCTTCATTGCATACTGGCTTTTTCCATTCCACACTCTACTTTCTCACAGCAATATGTTTTATCATATTTAAGCTACCTTTCTCCTTCCTTAAATAAAGCCTAGTATTTGTTGATTGAGTTACGTGAATTAGAAGCCTCACTTTGCTTCTGAAAATTCCTCTGTAAAATGGGTGCAGTATCTTCTCTAGAGGGCTGTTAGAATGAAAATCTGGGATTCATTCATTAAAAGACAAGGGGAATTTCCTGGAAGTTTTCCTTTCAATTGTTTTCTAATTCCACTAAACGTTTTTATCCATTTTCTTTTTGCCTGTAGTTTAATGGTCTGCCAAAACAAATCACCTTCACATGTACTATAAACAATTTGGTAAAAATTATTTGGGGTCTATTTATTAAAAGTAATAGGGCCTTTTTTGAATGTGCATGATTGCATTGCATTCATATAGTAATTATGAATGTACTTCACAAAGATTTGTTAAGAGTTTCACTGCACCTGGCATCGTAGATCCAGGGGTAAAGAGGGCTGCTACAGATGCACATATGGAGAACATGTCACATCAGGGAGCACAGCCACTTAACAAGCAATTACAAGACTTGTAGTAGCACAGATACAGAATTATATGAAATTACAGAGGTGTCTAAGGAGAGTGAGGCTTAAGGGGTTCTGATGTCTGGAAGCAGAGCACAGAGGTATCTGTTATTGCTATAGAAACCATCCCATTTCAATCACATTTTCCCTTTGCACATTTTGAGGAATTGTTTGATATCCTATGTTAGGCTTTAAAATATGCTGATTTGGTTGTCATCTTTGAGGTACATTTCAGTTCTGAATGGGCGTGACGGAAGTCAATCTCTGCTCTTTCAGAGATTTGCCACTTTTATGCTATTTGAGGAATCTGCCAGCAGCAGGTTTTGGGTTTGTTTTGTGTAGTGGAAACTGGTGAGATCAACCCACCATTTTCCAAATCAGCCAAGCTCCCCTTCCTGTGGCTTCACTAGCATCCTGCGGGGCAGAAGTTTCCGACTTCTTTTGTGCAGCAGTAAATCACATTTTATCCCCAGGATGGAAAAAAAAGGAAAGATTCTTCCATTATTCATTAGAAGAGAATTTCTTTCCAAGCAACCAGCACAAGTTTAAAGGCTCCAATTGACTATGCATTGGGAACACATTTTTCTCACCGAAATCGAATCACTGGCTGTGTGAACAAATGAAACTCAATAACAGGTTTCTCTGTTCTCGATTATATTTTTCCCCTCTGAAAAGATACATATGGTCTTTTCCTAGCTGAGAAAGAAAAGAAAAAACATTAAAATGGTGTAATGTGTGGTTAAGAGATCTGCAGCACTTGTGTGTTAAGAGAGATTCTTATTCTGGGGTTGCTGTCACGGAGCCGAAGTATTTACAAACCTAGTGAACTTGACAAGCTTGCGGTAATTTACACAGTCTCACATCACTCCCGATCTGTGGAAGACTGTGTCACACATTTTTAATATACCCGGGTGGAATTCTAACTTTTCTACCTAGAAACAATTTCTTAGCAGGCGAGGAGAAAGGTACAGGATTGGCTGCACTTTTTACTCCTGTCCAAATTTGATCCTATTAACTGCTCTCCAAATCCCAAGAATCCTTTAAGCTGGGATGCATAGCTAGTGGGACTGTAGTCAGTGCACATATATTTGTACGTTTGGAGAACGGCTGTTGCTTTGGCCCTCCTTGGTCAGCCATGTGCAGTGCCCGGCCTTCCCCTGCAGCGGCCCAGATGGAAGCTGTGATTGCTCTTCCTTTCCACTAGGGACCTCCATCTGCTCACGGGAGGTTGGGGAGCAGTTCTCAGTCTTGGGCGTTTCTCCTGCAGTTGCAGAGGATAAGAGTTTGCCAATTGCCCCTGGGAGAAGGTGGAGTTTACCATCAAAGGGAAATAATTCTATAATATCTTCTCTTTTTTTTCGTAAGCAAATTGAGGCTTACTCAAGCAGGTGTGTTGTGAAAGAGTAAAGAGAAAAGAATTCTGAGTCTTAAAGCAAAGCCACAGAAATGAGAAAATAAGAGATTTCAGAGGCTGACAGATTCCTTCGCTAAAGGGCTGTTCATACTGACACATCTGCTCTCCTGTAGGAAGGAGGATGCATTCAGTCATAGGACATGAATGCCTGGATGATATTGTGAAACTCAAAATAATCTTGCTTGGGCCTTGCTGTGCCCAGCCTTCCTGTGTCACCCCTTGGGAGCATTTTCCTAGGCACTTGCCACCTTCCGTATCGGGCCTGTAGCTGTGACTCTGTGCAGCAGGAACAGATGGGGCACGTCTGTAAGGAGAGACTGGAAGATAAGGTTTCACGATTTTTACAAAAAAGGCAAAACACATTAATCTGCATTAGCCTTTGGATACTCTGTAATAGAAATAGAGGGCTCAGAGGGGAAATCATCTCCCTTTGCTTAACCTGTGTCCCTGTGAAAAATTGCGTAGCTTGTATTTCAAGGAGTGAGTGTACCATATTTTGCATTTCACCCATAAGCTTCACTGCATCCCACTTTATGAAGATAAGACAGGGTTATATCTTCAAGGCTAGAAATCCTCTGTTGGACCATAGTGATCAAAATTTATTCAGAGACCTTCTCATATCTAGTTTTCCCTGAAACAATTTTACTTTTTTGCATGGCTGTTAAGAAAAATCTTGTCATCCTTATAGGTACAATGTCATGTGTTCATTTATTCAGTCACTTATCACGTGTATACTATGTGCTAGTCACCAGGATTGGCAAGGAAAATACAGATGGCAAAACATAAAGGCTAAATCGGGAGCTCCTAACATTGAAAGCACAGATCCTTTAAGAGTGAAGAACTACTTTAAGATGTCTGTCCACCTAAAATGTGTGTGTGCGCGCATAGGCGTGCATGTGCCCGCATGTGTGTGTGCGTGTTTTGCCTGATGAGAAGAATTCAAAATTTAAAACAATTCTTAAAGGATATGATGTAAAAAAAAAAGTTAAAAGCCAAGTCATTAGAAGACTACATTAGAATTGCTATATAATAGAGATGTGTACAATATCATAAGAGGTCATGGGTGGAGATCTGTTTCTGACACAGAGGTCAAGAAAGGCCACAGAGAAGGTAGCATTTGTGTTATCTGTGGAGGATGAGTAGGAATGAACCAGGCAGCTTGACAGGAGGCACGTTGGAAATCAGTGTGCCCTGAAGGGCAGTTCACCTCCCGTTTGAGGCCTCCCTACAAGCTAGAGCATGAGTGGTATTTTCTTTATTGCAACTGTGCAAATGGAGCATGCTTTACCATTAGTCAACTGTTACAGGAAGAGGAACTCAGGAGGCATGCCCTGGCTGACCACAAATGACTGAGGGCACACGTGAATTACTAATGTGCAGAGATTGGTGTGGAATGATCGAAAAGATCTCCAGAGCTTGGTGCTGCATCAGAGTCGCAGGAGTACCGAGCCCAGATCAGTGTTGCTGCTGTCCCCCTCAATCGTCGCTGCAGAGAGGTATCCACAGCCGTGCCCAGAGTCCCGCAGGATGTGGAGAGAGCTGGCCCTCACTCTGCACCTGACAGCTGCTTGCTTACCCACTTCCCACCAGCCTTTGTTTCCTGCCCTGTACACAACAGTTATCATTTATTGAGAATATCTGTCCCAAAGACTGTGTTTGGTGAATTATCTACTTTATTTAATTCTCCCAATACCCTGCCAGGTAAGTTTAATTCTCCTAATTTTCCTAACTAGAAGTCTACTCAGAAAAT